TTTATAGTCTGTAGAGCCTTGTTTTGTGGCCAGGGTTGTCACTAAGACTTCAAGTTGCCGGGTAATTGTTGTTTGTAGCCAGGGAAGTCGGAAACGGTCATGGAGCCCCCCGGCCTCCCAAAAAGTTTAAGACATTTTCATGAGCGCCAAAAAAAGGGCAATCTTCATCAAGAGCAGAGCTATTATTAGCGGTTTTATGATGATTATGTCTTTATTACTACGCTTTTCACAAACATGCGAATCTTGAAGTTCAAAAACCAACTGACGATTGCGTTTTTCGCTGCCGTCAATCATCTTAACGGACCTCTCAGGAAACAAAACTTTACCTTAACGGGTTCAAAAGGTCATGGTTTGTGATTGGTGATTGGTGGATTTCGATCCGTTTTGTGTGTTTCTGTGTTTCAAGGTTCGTTGCTTGTGATCGTAATTGTGATTGACGGCAGTAAAAAACGCATTTGTGATGGCGACGTTTGAACTTAAGAGTTCGCATGTTTGTGAAAAGCGCAGTAAAGAAAACTACGAAATCACGCTGATCGTACTTAGATGTAAACAAGTAACCCGGGGTGACTCCCGTATGTAAGCAGCGGGGATTCTTGTCGTCTCGCTTAGGGGTGTAAATTTCGCATTTTGGTCTCTTTTAGGGTGTTCTGGGCAAAACGTCATTGTATTTAGCCGTAAAGGTCTCTTTTATGATTGCACGCGGAGATATATATATTTTGTCAGTTCGTTTTATTTACTCAATTCATGTAATCAAAGTTTTCTATAACATCAATACGTAAAGAACATTGTAATAAAATGGTCTCTTTTAGAGGTCAAAAAAAGGTTGGCCCACGCCTAGGTTGGTCTTCTTGAGGGGTCTAATTCAAAATTTCCAGCATCCCCGCCCCTTTCATATGGGGGTCCCCCCCCCGGGTTAAAAATATACCGGCATATTGTGTGACATTGTGCTACATCTCTTGCAGCGTGACATGTGACAAACAATAGCAAAAACCCTGACTGGGAGGCAGCTCTGGTGGCCATTTTTCCCATTTTACCTCTGTGTTTTATTGTATTTCATCTTAAACGAAAATATTATGAAGACTTGTAGTGTTTCTGTCCGCCGGAGATGATCAAACACACTGCAAAGAAGGAAACGCGGAAATTATGCCACTCGCTCAGTTATTTTTTTTTCTCTGCTGTTTCTTTCAGGACGGTTTCACCTTAGCTCCAAGTCAGCGAGCTTATCATTCGGACGAGTTCTGCAAATCTGAAACACTCAAGATCGGTATCCTTTAAATAAATAAACGTTATTTTTAAAAAAAGAGACAAGTTTTCCTCATCTAGCAGCAGCTGAGGTAGCGTTAGAAAAAAGCCGACATTTCGCGATGCCATCACTGGTTTTCCCGCGAAATGACGTCACAGGAACGAGCACAGAAATTCCATACTGATGACGTGGAAGAGCCATAATTATGGCTATGACTCTTGTGACTTGTCAGTATCCAGATCTCTTAGTGCCTTTGATATTTGAATGAAGCATGGTTCTAACCAATCAGAAGCTTTACACTCAGATCTGGTTGGCATTGCGTCATCAGTAAGGAATGTCTGCGTTCTTTCCTCAGATGGGTCATTATCAAATTACCAATTCAAATCGAGTTAACTAGTGCAGGTCGGTTGTTCTTCACTCCTTGACGTATTTATATCCTAGATGTGAAATACTATCTCGCTAATCAGGTTCACCCAGTTGTAGCTCGTTTGTGCGATCCCATCGACGGAACAGATGCAGCTCTTATTGCCCAGTGTTTAGGTGAGTAAATTACCGATTTAACTCCGCTGCTAGAAAACTGTTCGCATCTGAACAAAATGTGTCCACTGATTAAGTCTCTTTAAAGTATTTTAACTCCTTTAGTGTTTCCTTGTAGATTGCAACAACAAAATGACCTGATATCACAGTTTTATTCTCCCGTATTTACGGCTTCTGGCACAGAGAATTTGCCTCTGCCCCTCCACCGGAAGGAGTTTTTCTTTAAGTTCTCTACTTGCTATCTATCATCTCATTCGTTCAGAGCCTACAGTTAATTTTGGACGTCAGCGCAACCTGTTGCGCGCGCAATGCGTGATTTCCAAGAGCAACGTCAAATTGTGTTCTGCGCGTTTGTTCATTTGTCGTTATAACATAGCTAGAATGTTCGCCTATTGAAATTCAATAGCGCGAGCGTGCTTCATATTCCCATTGAGCACGCTGATGACGTCAATAAACTATACCTCGAGTTCTTGTGAGCTGAGCAGTCCTTCCAAGACGTCTCCCAAGTGCATCCATAAGTCAACAATACACAATGAAGCGTTAACCATGTGTTTTATAACGTAAATTTAAGAGAAAACTTGTTGTGTCAACCGATAGTAGGGAAAAGAGGTGAAAGTTGTCGTTGTTGTTGTCATCTGCGCGAGCTGTGCGAGCTATGGTGTTTGCAAATCAATCTTTTCAAAGTTATTTCTTTCAAAACAATTTTTTGGTTAATTGATAGTTTTCTGGCACCTCGCTTTGGATTTTACAATCTTATTAGAAGTTTATCACCATTTTTTTCGTTGCAAAGGCCTGGGCCCTTCTTGTTATCGTGGCAGCTCTGCCCTTCATGATGATGAAAATGACGTGTTGCTTGGTGGCCAGGCTCAGATGACAGACGAGGAAAGGTTTAAGGTCGGTATAACTGTAAATATTTTCCCTTCCAGGGGTGATCAAGGTCAAAATTCGACGAAATTTCGCAATTTAATTTTGTTAAATGATGAAAACCAGATAGCAGCATATGAGAATACTGAAGAGATTTCATTTGAATAGTAACACCATAGAATTTTGTCTACAGATTCAAATCATCATCAGCATCATACATCTTCACCTTTATTTATCCTCAGATTTACAGTGTAGCTCTTTAAGCTAATATGTCCGAGATAGAAGAAAACAAATATTTAATTAAAATAATCATTAGCCTAAAAAGAATAATGAAATAAAATAAAATAAAATAAATAAAAGGAAGTTAGAACTACATACTAAATAAATAGTAACATGTGAAAGTACTGCAGAAGAGGTTTAACTTGAATGGTAACACCATAGGATTTTATCCACAGACTCAAAAATTAGAACTACATGCTAAATAAATAGTTATCGAGTGAAAGTACTGTTGAAGAGGTTTCATTTGAATGGTAACACCATAGGATTTCATCCACAGACTCAAAAGTTAGAACCGCCTCCGTCCCCATTACCAATCTGGGAATTAAGGTGAAAGAAATGTCCTCGAAATGGAGGTTAAATAACACTGAGACATCTCGTTTTAACGTAAAGTGGATTGTGTCTATGACAATCGGCATGTTCTAAAGTCCACAAGACCGGAACACAAAATTTGAGGGCCTCATGCTCTTTATGAAAATGGTGAATAGTTAAAAACACAAAAAGAAACCCTAACCCTAATCTGCACCTTACTTGTTTCTCAAGGATTCTGAGCGGTTTATAGTCAAGTGTAAACGCTCCAGCTGTGGTCAAGAAACGACCCTCCAACTCCTGTTTAAAGGCGTTGTAAGTACACCTTTAACAGTTAACCCTTTGTAAGCACCAATAGTGACCAACAACACTTTTCTCCTAATAACATCCAAAGAGATAAAGAGATAAAGTTATGGGAATTAATAGAATGATCACTAAAGGGAAAATACCATGATCTTTTATCAAATTCTCTCAATTAATTCTTTTAGAAAATGTATGGAGATCAGTTTAAAGAATTTGTATGTGGATATCGGGGTTTAAAGGGTTAATGTTCATTCACAGTTTAACATCAAATGATGTTATTTTCTTCCGTCGTAGAGCTTATAATTTGTACTGTTCAGAGGTATAAAGTTAAGCACATTCAATGCATGAGTTATGGCTGAACAGGGATCTGTGATTTAAAGTCAAATCCGGAATTTTCCGTTTTCGAAAACCAGCGTTGTCGATCCCATGCCTTGAGCTCCAAATAAAGGATTACCAATAAGGCAAAAGTACGTGACAATTCAAAACAGGATTTTACAGGCTTTTAAAACATTTTTAATGTTTGTTGTTGTTGCTTTAATTGAAGCAACCAAACGAAGCACATTACAAGGTTGCTATAGTTGAAAACCCACAAGTGCACAACATTTTTGGAGATACACTCGAGCTCGTAGTGACAGATGATTTAAGGAAACAAAAAGCTATTTCAAGTTCAAACTTAATTCGTTTAGTAAGATAAGGAACGAAAATTGACCAAACACAGGATTAGAAATGACTTGGTCATACAATAAGGTATAAAGATTTAGGTCTTAAATAAATACTTTGTACCAATTTTTTTGCAGTCGAACGCACTGGCACTCAACGATACATGTCCAGGATGTAACAGTCAGTACAGTGCAGGAGCAGTTTCCAACCAGTTGAACGTTGCCGTGCGCAGACACATCAAGGAATACTACATGGTAACTGAAGTGTTTACTCTTTGCAACTGCAATTGTTATAATTAAAATAACAAAGCAACTCGTACGGCTTTTTTGTAGGCTATACAGCATTGAGCAAGGATTAGCACTTAATCGGTTCAGTAGTGCACGGCCTTCTGTGCGGGAGGTTCCGTGTTTGATTCCCAGATGTGACCCCAAATTCTTCTTTCGACTTTTTCCTTTCCGTGTAGCTTTAAGTAGCTTTAAATACCCGTAAAACAGAACACTGATGGGGAGAAGGGGTAATATGAGCTACCGACTTAAACTAAGGAGATTTTTTATATCTTTACCTATTTATATGCGCTTCTTGCTTAAATGGATGATACATCCTCAAATACCACCTCTGTTGGAGTAAGACTGATCAGAAGAAGGTCTCAATTTTCTCGACGCAGATTACTGAGCAAGAATGCGGCCCCTTTCATACATTGCCTCTATTTAATTTACGCGCGTAAATTTGACGTGCGTTCGCACGGGAAAATTACGCGACAGTGGAAAAAAAACCCTAACCAACATTATAACGCACAGGGTTGGCAGAAATGCGAGGACCCGTCCTGTGGTTACAGCACACGTCAAGTACCCCTGACACGTCAACGAGGCGCCCTGTGTGCCCACAATGCTTTAGGGCCCACTTGCATCCAGTGGTGAGTATAAAACTAGAACAAAGACAACTTTGACCATGCAAAATTTTTCTCTGACTCTGTCGGTATTATCAGCTAAAACTATGTACAAACGAACGGAGTCAACAATGTTTGGAGTTTTTAACCTCCGTGTTTGCAGTGGAGTGCACACGGATGCAACAACTCCCAACAATGTTAGTACCTGCACTGCATCGTGGGAAGGATACAACCCATAAGACTTTGAAGACCATGTGTAATCTGCGTGCGTGGCCCCAACAATTAACGTTGGAAGAGGTTTGCAAACGGATCCAACATTGTTGCGCAACGCTTCGGCGATCACAAAAAAAAGAAATGTTGGAAGTTGTTGGCTCAAAACTTTGTTTGCCAACAAGTTTGCGTCCGTTTGAACGCGGAGCAAGGGATGCCGCAGTGGTGAGAGCGCTCGCCTCCCACCAATGTGGCCCGGGTTTAAATCCCGGCATCGATGCCGTAATGTGAGTTGAGTTTGCTATTTTTTAAATTTTATTGAAGTTTTTTTTTATTTAACATTTCGTGGCCCAGCTTCTTCAGTAGTTGCCAATTTGTTTTGTTTTCAGTACTCCGACACAGCGCTGTACACTCAACTATTGTACTTCTCCCGCTTGTTTGACTACGATCACGCCGTGAAAAATGCAAAAACAGGTCAGTATTTTGAGTAAGTGAGTATGAGTGAAAAACGTTATTTACCCACGGTACTTGAATCAAATAACTTTGCGATAAAGTATCTGTTCTTCTCAAAAGCCGTGCTTAAGGTAATTCCCTTGAAATTGTTCTACTATCAAACTTTTTTTGAAACTTGGCATAATGCAATAAAAAGATGGGGTCACCGTCCTTGTTTACGCGCCAGCAGTCTCTCAAATTGGGGTATTTTTATTGGTTGCCCTTGTGGCCCTTGTTTGTTCTTTTCGCGCTAATGGAAAGAACCGCCGCCATCATGGATGTCGCAATGTTATGCGCAGTAAAGGGTGCGCAGTGCAAAACAAGGGAATTACCTTAAGAAATTAAATTACATAAAAATATGTTTATATCTAAAACTAAACCGGCTAAGAAGAGATCGCACACTCTATAAACTAAGAAAGAAGAGAATTGATAATGGTTGACTGAGATAGTATGTACGACCTGATCTTCGCCTTGAATTTTGCAGAAAAGTCTCTTTTTTTGAACAAGAAGGGAGGGAACCCCAAAGCTCAACAGCCGCAAAAGCAAAACTATTCTTAAAATAGTTTGTTCTTGTTGTGGGCAGGTAGCAGGACAACTTAACCTTCAAGGGTTGACGTAAACCCGAGCGCCCATTTCTTGCGTCAGCGTTTACGTTTCTTCCTGCGTTCGCGTTTCACGCGTGTGAACGGGAACAACTCAAACGCAAGCACAAATGCAAGGTGGAAAGTGCTCAACTGTCATGTTAGGATTCATAATGATCAAGAGCACTTTTGCATCTCTGTGCAAGTGTTTCCTTTGGACGTGGGAACTTGTCTGTTCCGAGGAGTCTCTAGTGTGTTTGGAAAACGGAAATCGCGACTGCGAGCGATAGGATCGCGCAATGGACCATGGGAACGTTTAGCGTTGACGCAAAGGACGCTGGAAAGAGTGAGCGACTTTCCCATGATACCTAGCGCGGAACCCATCATAAAGTTGTAAATCTAACAATAGCCTCATTATAAATGTTTCCAAGCAAGTTGTGGAAAGTGCAACTTTTATCCACAGCATAGAATAAAAAAGTTTATTATTATCATTATTATTATTATTATTATTATTATTTATATATTTAATTTGACTTTTAAACAATCTGGTCAATTTGTTTTCGTCTGTTTCTTATTTTTAGCTGTGGACGTAACACAGAATACGAAGTCATTTTACAAAGCTGTGCACTCAGTGATTACTAAAGTCCTAAATACTAACGGTTACTCTGAAGTGAACCTTTCGAAATTGTTTAGTAGTTTCTTTGTGTAGAAACAGTGAAAAAGTTCATACCTCTCATTAGCCAATCAAAAGGAAAGCCCACATCAGTGATGCCTTGCGCGCGGTTGCCGCGCTTTGCTCTGATTGGTTGGTCAAGGCTAGTTTCCCTCACGTGGATTTTCCCGCACTTTCGTCTGATTGCCAGTTATCCCGCCAGTCAGTCAGTTCTTCGCCTTAGCAACCAGACCGAATTTCTACGCTATCTTCATTCACTTAGCGAGTACTTTAATTATTCTACAATAACAATATTGGCAAGTAATTAGATTTAAAACAACGCTTTGAAAGCAATCCTATAATTGAACAAAGAATTACGTGCTTATTTCCTAATGTATATAACTGTGCTTTCTTTTAAGATCAAGACTATAAGTCTGTAGATGTCTCCTTATAACATTAACACGTTTAATCACGTGCAATGTTTTTTCCAATTAGCTAAATAAAATTTGTTTAAAAATTTCATCCTTACATTAATTAATTTTAAAAGAATCATTGAAATCTGTTCTTATAGAATGTTTATTCCTGAGGTATTTGCCTGTTGAAAGTTTTATTTCCGAATAATCTCCGACGGACAAAGACAACGTTTTGGCGAGCACCTTCGGAGCATTGAGAAGAACTTGCCTGGTTTTCCTGTCGCTGTGTATTTTACACGGTTGGTCACTCGATTAACGACGCCCTTGCTCCGCGGGGACAACGCGCAACGTAAACGCCTGGTAACGCTCCTTCCGTTTCCTTTAGACTGCGTGCAGAGCCCCCGCGCACTAAAAAGGTTTTAATTTTCACTTCATAAGTGAATAAAAACCTTGCACCGGGTCTAACGTACTTGCAATAGCACTGATGAAGAGCCAGGCCCGAAACGTTTGAAAAACAACTTCATTTTAAACAGCAACTTTTGTTCGTATTTCACTTTATAATGAACATTTACTTGGTTTATGTATCACTATGGGATAATGAATAATGAATGATAATAAAGATGCTTTGCGTCAAAGGAAATCTTATAGAATGATATCAATTAATATAACTGACGCCCGTTTCGTGCCAGGCGCTGGTTACGCGTGCTTCCTCGAAATTTCTGCCTCAGCCCAAAAAACCAGCGCCTACTTCGCAGGCTATAATTTGAGGATTGAAAAAGTACAGTTTTTGCAATCCCTATGATCTTTTCACCATATGTGCTATCAGGCGCTCTGTGGATTATAAACAAGTTCTGTTCTGTTTTGTGGTAGAAACAGGAATCCAGAGAACCCTTACCGGTAATCCGGATCAAGGTCATGGGTCGATTCCCATCAGTTGGGAGCTCAGAAAGTTCCTGTTCTTCCGAGAAACACTTGACTTCCTGTGAGGCAGATGTTGACAGGGTCTGGGATGAAGGGGAAGGCACTCGGGGAGAGGGGATGGGGGAACTCCCAAGAAAAAGACCGGGATACTCTTCGTCTCGCTTTTATAGGGGTGAAAAATTGCAGATCTCGGCTTCACTTGTGGTGTGCAGGACTGAAAGCACGATCAACTCCTGCTGATAGCCAAGATTGTTAGCCATACATACAAAGGTATCTCTCATTGGGGTTCTGCCATGAATTATCTCTATAAAACAAACCAAGCACCCGCTGTCAAACTCTGTTGAATACATCTTGAACACGAGAATATAGCTCTGATAGCGTTATAGCTCTTAGCTGTCGGTTTTCAGTCGACTTAATGGTTCAAATAAAGCCTGTGCTTCGCGCGCCCAGCTTGGTTTTCTTTTGGAGTTGAATTTAGTCCTGACAAGCATCTCCGTCGCATTCCTCCCCTACCCTACCCCTTTAATTTTTACGCCTGCCACGTTAGCTACTCTTGATCTTTGGACGATTTACTTTCCTCAGAACAACCAAGTCTTTGTTATATTAGCTATTTTTTATTTTTATTTTGTTTCTGTCAAAAATATCACGTGATTCACATCATCAAGTCAATCATTGAAGACGCCTTCTGAACCACTCACTAAACTGCATCGTCTCGATACAACCGTACCTCACCTCTCTTATCCGGGGCTTTGGAACAAAGGTTTGTTTAAGATTTTACGATTTTGTATTTCATGGCTTATGAATTAACAAAACCGTGTGTGGATTTTGTAAAGAAAATCATTTTCGTTTTTAAGGCATGT